TGTGGAGTAGGCGCAGTTTTGACAACGATCAAATTGATGCTCACCAATTAGCTTATGCCGGTCATAAGCTTTAAATTTTTTTGTTATATTTTAATCAGGATAATTGTTTAGTTTAAAGTCATGGTATGGAAGATTTACTTATATACCATCGACAAAATTAATATGTGGATTATAGTCAATTGTAATTATATATACCAAGAATTTAAAGGCCAGTTTGGACGCGAAGATCTAGCTACGGATGCTGGTTCCACCATGATATTGGCGACGCAATGATTAAGAAGGCGTATTTGATCATTTTGAACGTTTAATAGATCTAACTATAATTTAGTAATGTATCCTGGCTTGAACTGGTACTAGACAATTTTTTTTAAACAATTCAAGAAGAAAGTAATTCTGGAGACAAGTTATGCGGCTTTAATCCTGCGTCGTCAATCTTTTTAGACACTAGCAGTTCTTTAGCTATCGATGATTATTTCGTAAAGTTATTATAAGTTATAATTATTGAAATAAGAAAATTTTAGTTTCGTAGAACATCGATACATCAACGTTAATTTAAGATAATATCATTATTATCATAATTATTATTATGAACATTATAGTATTTTTCATAAGTATCACCGCATATGTATCGTATTTGTTTATTTATTTGCACAATATGATTGTAATCATACACTATTTGTTTTAGAATGTTCCCTAATTATCAGATCCTTTTTTTATTATTTAGATAAATTACTATGTGTTTTTGTTACTAATGACTATATGTTTGCATGTTTTAATATTAGAGTGAGTAAAAGTTTGTCTATATTAAACATTTTGCTCTTCTTTGGAAGCTAATACTCTAATTGAAATATAATTTTTATAATGATAGTATTCAAATAAGTGACAAACATTTACTTTAATACTTATTCCATTTTGTAATGCACTAGTTGCATTAGTTGCAAATTAAATTTTATATTGTAAAGAGCTTATTGCCTAATTATGTATATATAGTTATAACGATAATCGTTTAATATTATATAGTTTGCACTTATATTATTCTCATGGAAATACATCTAGAATCACATTTGCTTCTACATTTACAATCATCACACATTACAATTTCAAACACCACTAATTAGTACTATTTACAAAAAACATAATACGTACAAATATTGTTAAAATAACAGTAAATGATAAGAATATTAGTCTTGAAATACTGATACGAACAGATAATTTGTATACTATTAATTGATTTTTACATTTCGCATCGTAATTAATAAATATTGAAATTTTTATGTCCATGAAAAAGGTAATTGTTCTCCGAAAAATTTTTGCTATTCCAGATAATTTTCTCACTAAGTCAAATTCAAATGTAACTTTTTTCGTTTTATTATTATTATCAAATCTTATTTATGAAAATTTATTATAATTATTTTAGTAATGCTTTATTACTAATATATTAATAATTTTCAAGATTATTAATGACATAAATAACCGTTTTATAAAAACATACGATCTTTATTTGTAGACCAATTAATTTTTCACGTTTATTAATGATTATTTCAAAATCAGAAATATAAAAAATAAAACCTTTCAGATAAAGTGCACCTAGTTCAGTGCAATTTTGGGTAGTTATTTGGGCACACGATAGTTATGTCACTAAGTAAGTGTCTAAACTCAGTTTGTATTAACTACATATTACTCTCTAATTACATCCTAATTCTTTTCGGAGTTTGAGAAAAATGTACTCCTTTCTGACATTTTTTTATTCTTGTCTTATTTAATAATTTGTCAAAAGCTATAGTGTGTTCTATTATATTGAACGTTTCAAGTGCTTTGCAGTTACTTGCAATTAATTTTATATAAAAAAAATGTAATTAAAGGTAAATGTTTTAAAGCCAAATTGTATAGCAATTGTAATAGCAATTGTAAAACTTTTATGTGAACAAGTGTGCAGAACCCAGGCAAAAAACTTGTTTCTGATATGCCTTTACCACTTGCTTGAAAATTAAAATTTTCCTATACGAAAATGCACTTTTGGGTGTGCTATAAGGATTCATCAAACCCATTTACACTTATACAATTCATAAATATATCACATATAAACAATATACGCCAAACTGAAACCCTCAATCTCAGGTGGTCTATTATGAGCACGCCCAGCATGAGCACCATTACGACCACGAGCATGAGCAGGCCGAAGAGGGCGGTTGGGGTGATAACTCTTGGAAAAGGAGTATCGCCGGTGGCGATCCGACTCTTAATGCTCAGCAGTTAGCTTACAGAGGACAATTACAGTACTAGGAACAATTAGAACACGCCATATATAATTTTATGTATTTATTTCAAAGCCGCTTTATGTGGTGCCAATTGTAATGGACACATCTTGGTGAGAGTAAAATTGTTTGTTGGCTAATTGGCATCACGTAAATCGTTATTTATTTTAAGTTATGTGCATAATTTTATAAGGGACAAGAAGGAAACATGAAAATTTCATGGACGATCGATGAGGTTTATTAGTCATCTAAAATATCAAATTCATTTATGGTGGATACTTTAATTTTCATAGTTATGTACATTGAATATATCATTTGATTTATTCATACTGTTATTTATAATTTGACTTATTTATACAATTTTTATTTATTTTAAAAATTGTATTAATTTATTGTGTTTTGATAGCTTCTTAATCTTAATTATTTCAACCTTAGGAAGCATAAATTGAAAAGTTATTTTCACCAGACTTGATATGTGTATTTATTATTACTATTATCATTGCAACGTTATATTTTATATTATGATTTAAATAAGACTCAAGATTAAAGTGTGTAGTTTGCTAGTTATTAGTTCAAAATATATATTGTTACGTTTCTCGTTATTTCAGCAATTATTTGGATAAATTGTGTGAAAGTACGGAATTTGCGTTATTATCTCTAATATTATATTGTCCGTGAAAAAAGCGATTAGCACTGTAAAATTATTCATGAACGCTTTTGTATCCCTGTATATTTTTTCCAAATTTCCTAGATTAGTATAGTCATAATTATTTATTTAATATTTATTTATTTATTTATTTATTTATTGTTATAATTTTATTTTATTTAAGTTATATAGATATGTAGATAATTTTAATTTATTTAAGTTTTAGACTCTGTATATAATAAATTTATAAAATCTTTTTTTTTTTTATTTTTTTTATATTTTTATATTTTTTTAGTTCACATTCTTTACAATTTTCAAAGAGATTTTTATTTTATATAAGCATCTATCTATATATATATATATATATATATATATATATATATAATAAAATCAAAATAAAATTAATTTTAATAATTTTCATACGTTTTGATCTTCAGGTTGACCCATTCGAAAGAAAAAAACATTGCAAAAATACATAAATTGATTTAAAAAAATATAAAAGTACATTGAACAAAAATTTGGGCAAGAGACATATTAGTAGTAAAAAACTATATATTTAATTTAAGAAAATTGAATTTTTGCTATTAATATTTTTATTATAATTCAATTGTCTTAAATTTAATATATAACTTTTTTAATAATATAACTCTTATTTCAATCCAATATGTTGAATGAACGTAGATGATTTTAATATTTTTTTAAAATAATTTGTGTCTTTTATTGATGAGATTTGCTGATGAGAGCTTTTTATTTATGAAAAAACCGAAGCTATTTGCACAGCATAATTAAAGTGTTTTTGTTATTTTATTTCATTCCAATTATTTTGCTTATGCAAAAACTTATATTATTCGCAGTAAAACGAGTTCTGAAAATATTTATATTAGTTCAATTGGACGTTTGTTGGTCAGATTTGCGTTCCCCTCGCAATTTGGGAGGAACTGATTTAATGTTGATGGTTGTAAATAAGTATGACACTGGTTTCATTGTCAGTTGCGATTAGTGTCAGATTCAGGACAGTGTTTATTAATATACTGCGGTTTGTATTTTACTTTTTATTCATTAAAATTAATACTGGCCTTATATAAATTCGATTACTTGAAAAAAACATCAAGCATGCAAACTGCATGTTCAAATACTTGTGGTCGATTGATCGATACTTCCTTTAGCAGTAGTTTTGATTTTTTATATTTATTTTTACTTACTAATTTATATTATTGTCGTGAGCCGAAATGCATTTATTAAAAATCATCAAACAATCTAACAATATTACATTAAATATTTGTATGAAACCCATTTTCTAATGTCGTTTAAATTCAGTAGTCTACCTCATCGCACGAGAATATATTTAGAATGCATGTTTTTATCCATGTTTTAACATAAAATTCAAGATGTTTTAACAGTTATTATGACCGTGAATAGAATGTGTGAAATTAAATTGTACGGAAGCAATAAATTATGCAGTAGAATACAGTCATAACACCCCATTTCGCTTTATATTGCAAGTTTTATTCTAAAATTATGCACGTTATTTCAGTCCAAGGGAAATATATGATAAAAAGTTTTTGTACACATTTCACAGAAAATAATAATAAGATAAATAGAGACTTGTTCCTGCAAAAATGTTGTTTTGTTCAGTACTTGTTTCAAAACTTGCTAATTTTAAGCAAAACCCCGTTAAGACGATTTACCAGGGACAGTACTAAAAACGCTCCTTAGTAGAGTAGAGTTATGCTTCAAAGGTAGAGAGCAGTAAAATCGTTTATAGCGGAGTTCTACTGTATTTAAAAAAAGTACATTAGTAAAAAATATAAGATATAATAATATATAATATAATAGATATAAAAATATTACATTATAGAAGGACAATTCTGTTTTTTGAAATACAATTCTATATAACTAATCTAATTTAATTTAAGAACTTGCGAGCCAGTATTGTCCAAAAAATTTATGATCTGTTGATGGCTAGGCCACAAAGAAATTGAAAATGTATATATTTTATATATGAATATTATATTACAGGTTTACTGAAATTTTATAAATATGAAAGTCTTTTCATTTCCTTTTGTTTATGCCTGATTATTCTTAATGAACTGGATGCGATGCGAGGTATTTAATATTTATATATTTTTTTATTAAATATTAAGTTGAAAGTTATTTGTCGTCTCATTTAAGTATTTGTATTTCAGTAATTCCAGGAGGTCGATATGGAAAACACAACTACAAAGGAAAACAGCCTGAGAAAATACAATATAGGAACCCGGCAGCTATTAACTATTATGACCACAAAGATGTAAATGAAAATTAATGAAGTTTTTTATTTTTATATATTTTATATTTTAATTTTCGTATTTTTCTTGAAGTAATTAATGTAATAGTTTTAATTTCAGGGAGCCAAAATAGTTAAGTCATCACACTTCGAATTAGATTACATGTTAGGAAGAAAAATCACATTCTTCTGCATGGCTCAAGGTAAATATAATTGTCTAAAAACAACATTTAATAAATAAATAGAACTATATGAATCCTAAATGTTATATGAAGCATAAATTCCATAAATATTTTTTTTATGTTTTTTTTATAAATTATAGGATTACCGCGACCTTCAATAACTTGGTTTAAGGATGGAGTTGAGTTATTTCATCATCGATTTGTCCAAGTAATTATTTCAATCAGATTCTAATATAATTTAACAAATAAATTTTAAATAATAATTAACATGAAATAAACTTAGGTTCATGAATGGCCCATGGGAAATGATACTTTGAAATCTAAAATGGAAATCGATCCTACGACCCAAAAAATGCAGTTAGATCATTAAATATATATATATATATATATAATATATATATATATATGTATATATATATAAACATTTTAAATACTTCATTTATTATCTAAGGATAACAAACGCTGAATATTTAAATTATTTTAATATAATATTTGCACATTTCAAGACCACTTCAATCCTTTCTCAGCTCTGTTTCAATTGACTATTAATTTTTTATTATAAGATGTTACAAACAAATTACTTTATATATTAATATACTACTTATATGTAGTCAAAGTAAATATTGCTGACAGATTGAAAAAAATGAAATTTATACTATATTAATTTACAATATAATAAAATGAACAATAAAATATTAGAACAATT